TGCTTTGTGATCTAGGTTAAGTTATTAAGTTCTTTGTGAATTTGTTTAGTTTCTTGATGAAACTTTGTTGTCTTCGTGACTTAGCTAGTAAACCCTTTATAAAACCTCACACCTTAGCCTCTTTCGACCAAATTCGCCTTACCCAAATCCTTCTTATCATTACTATATTAAAAGTAATACCTGTCTGACTATAGTTAATTGTTATAGTGTTTAAAGTCTATAAATACAATTCCCACTACTAGTCGCTTAGTTTTCTTTGATTTCTTTAGAAGGTAAATCAAGGTTAACAACATGTCAATGTTTTTTTTGATTTAATAAATTTGTCCAATGGCCTAGATGTAGATACTTCTTGATTCAAATATTTATGTTCACGAATAATATGACTTCTTAATATAGAAGTTGAACTATCTTTAGCAGCTTTATAACTTTTGCTAAAATAAAAGAGTAAAAAGTATAAATATTCAATATTTTATATAATTATATAATAAACTTATATCTTTTTTTTAATACTCATGTACAATGATTACAATAGTATCTATTTTCCTCTTGATTTAAAGTAAAAAATTGATATATAGAAGTTTTTTTTTATTATTATTGTTATTATTATTATTATCACTATTATTATTAATTACTGTTAAATTGCTACTGCTTGCTTCTATTAAATTACTGTTACTGGTCTCTCTTGATATATTTGGAACTGATGGTTCACTATTTTTTATATTTTTTTGTGAATTTCCTAATTCAGTATCACTTATAATCTCAGCCATTATAATTATATAAAAAAATAATCAAGTTAAAAAAATTTAGATCGTTATAAAAATAGATGGTGAAACCATAACATGATGATCAAAATTAATATATAAACTGAATATTTTGGTTTCAGTTTTAGTTTTTCAATTCAATTTCTATGAATAAACTGAAACTGAATTGAACCTGAATTGAAATATTCAGTTTGTAAATTTAACAAACTGAAACCGAATTGAACTGAAACCAGCGGATCGGTTTCAGTTTGAATCAAATCGATTAAAAGCTTTAATTAGAATATTATATTCTAATATGTTAATAGTATTATGAATTGCAAATACAAAATCACAATTATTCAACTATCAACTATATATTTGAGTACAAATGTTAATTAATAAATAATTACAATTATTTGTCAATTATCAAATTTGCAATTATTCACAATTATTTGTGATTAATCGTTATATGTTTTTTAGAGAATTTTTGTATTTTTTTAATTTTGCTTATGATTTGTAAAGAATAGAGTGATTTTCTACTAATACAGTGGCTTCCAAAATAAACGCACCAGTGTAAAATAAATTAATTTTAATAAAATATTTAAATTTTTTATTATATTTTACCTATAGAAAATATATTTTTTTAATAAATTAGTCTCGAATTGTATGCTGTAAATCATTATCACCTGATGTGAATGATGATTGGCTAATTGATCAACAATGATAAAAAAAAATATGGTACGTTTATTTTGACATTTTTTTTTTCAACGAAAGGCTTCTAAATAAAGTTTTTTTTTTAAATAATAACCACCAAAAATCCAAATAAAAAAAATATTTCTTACATTACATTCATTCAACTTGCCTATAAAAATCTACTCGTTTTATTATAAATAATGTAATTAACCCTTGAACGACGACAACATGTGATTGCTCTACTCCAAGCAGAATTTACCTTAAAAGAAATTGCCGAAAGGCTAGGAAATGTTCACCATACCTCAATTTTACGATTAAAAAAGAAGTATGAAGAAACAGAAAAAGTTAAAAATAAAGAAGGTCAAGGACGAAAACAGATTTTATGTAAGAGAAATGAATGAACACTTATACACCGAATCATGATTAATGAAGCATCAACAGCCGTTGCACTACAAAAATTATTAAAAATATATGAAAATATTAATGTTAGTGCTAATACTATTCGTAGGGCATTAAAAAAAATGGAATGGTAATAAGAGTTAACCGTAAAAAGCTTTTACTCTTCAAATCCATCGTCAAAAATGTCTCACCTTCGCGAAAAAATATAAACACTGGACTGTTGATGATTGGAAGCAGGTAATTTGGTCTGATGAATCCAAGTTTCAAATATTTGGTTCAGATAGACGTCAGTATTGTTGGAAAAGAGAAAGTGAAGGTCTTAATAATAGACTTGTTAAGCCTACAGTCAAGTTTGGAGGTGGTAGTATTTTTATATAGAGATGTTTCACACCTGAAGGGACAAGATACCTGTGTAGGATTGATGGAAGTCTTGATGCTGAACTTTATTGTAAAATCCTAAGTGAAGACTTTATGGAGACCTTAGAATATTATGGATTGGAGGCAGAAAATATTATCTTTCAACAAGATAATGACCCCAAACACACGGCAAAACGTATGGTGAAGTGGTTTAAAGAAAATAAAATCAATATTTTAAGTTGGCCGCTGCAGTCACCTGACCTTAACCCAATCGAACATCTTTGGAATGATGTTGATCGTTGCCTTAGATCATTAAATGTAGAAATTAAAGGTAAAAATTTACTATGGGAACACGTATCTAAAATTTGGAATGAAACTTCAAAAGATACATGTATTAAACTGATAGAATCAATGCCTGAACGAGTAAAGGATGTTTTAAAAGTATCAGGTGGTTATACTAATAGTAAACTATTAGAAATATAAAAAAAAATCAATAGTTTTATTGTAACTTTTAATAAAATAAATTAATAAAAATATTTTTATAAAAGTGACAAAATAAACGCACCAAGATTTTTGCGGAAATCACATGATTACTAATGATTGACCAATTCAAATATCCTAACTTAATTGATAATTTATAAATTATATAATAAACTATTTATTAAAAAAAAAATTTTGAATTTTAATTGTAAAAAAAAAAATTATACATAAAAAACAATTTAAAATATAGGTGGTGCGTTTATTTTGGAAGCCACTATATGTAACTATCCAAATTGATCTTGTAAGACCTAAGATATTATCTATTATATATTTATATTATGTAATAATAATTATGTATTTTTATATAAATAGTATATGAATAATAAAAAGGCAAGTAAGTCTTATTAATTAATTTAATTAAAATTTATTTTGTTGAAATAATATTTATTGATATTATTTTCATGATTAATAAATAGTTGTTACTATTTATTTTCTTGTTTATAAAATTAACAAATTAGTAGATTTGTTACAATAATTCAAATATTTTTTCAAAGAAAATATATTGTAAATATTTCTCTCCTTATATCAATTATATACCTACTTATATATCATTCAAAATTATTTATTCTTATTCGAAATAGTATTATATCTGAAACAGTATAAAAATAGATAAAATTTTTATTATATTGAAATTAAAAAAGAAAGTTAAATTTAAGATTAGCAAAAGAATATAAAAATTAATAAAAAATATTTAATATTTATATATGTGAAAAATTAGATTATATGAAAACATGTGGATATATATATAATTGATATATGGAATATCCAATAATTTCAAATTTCCCAAATCTAGAATTTTTCAATTTTATTCAATCATGTATCTATTCTAATTCTGCTAAATTTCAATCTTCTATAATATCCCAAAAGATTGTATTATTTTTTATTTATTATATATTAAATTTAACAATATCATTTTCTGATTCAGTTAATATTCTATTAACAAGTATATATTTTTCAATTTTTATCTATTTTTTAATTACTTTAAATTGTTTTTCATAATATTAATTGTCTAATATATCCTAATATTTCATTATTTAAATATTTTATTAATGCTTCTTTTTTTCTTTTATCTTTGTCAAATTTTATTTTATAATTTTTTTATACTTATATCTCTTATTTTTTTCAAAGTTTATATTGAATTTCTTTGTATTATATATGATTTATTCAGCAGAATTTGTTAAAATTCTTTAATGAAAGTTTTTTAATGATTTCAGTAATAGTGTTCAGAATAATAAGTGAATTATATGTATGTATTAAAGCTCTCCATAGGCTGAGTCCAGTTAAGTTCTATAGAGCTCAAGCCTAGTCAATTTCAAAAAACTTGGGTTTAGCTTGAACCTAGATTTAAAATTTGAGCTCAGGTCAAGTTGAGCTTATATAATTTGAGCTTGGTTTTGCTCTTAAGTCTTATAAGCTCACAAGCCTTAATATAGACTTGCAAGCTTTAATATAAGCTTACAAGCTTTAATATAAGCTTGCAAGCTTTAATATGAGCTCACAAGCCTTAATATAAGTTTACAAGTCTTGATATGAACTCTTGAGTTTTGATATAGGCTCTTAAATTTTAATACAAATTTACAAACCTTGATAAAAATTTATTTTTAGATGACTCAATAGTGATATTTATTAAATTATTTAAAAATATTTAATAATCAATTACTTAAAAATGTTACATCAAAAAATTTTAATAGGTGATAATTATTGAAGAATTTTTATTTCTAATGAAGAATTCCAAAAGATTTTTTATGTTTTCTATTTTACTTACAATTTATAAAGTGTAAAGTGATTTTTTACTAAAGTATTTTCAAGATAGAAAGAAAGACCTTATTTTTGACTACAAAATGATATATGTTTTATTCCAGTAATATCAATATTCATAAAGTTATCAAGTTTAAAGAAAAACATTTGTAAGAAAATTTGTGAAAAATTTTTCAGATTTTTACATAATTTTTTAATGGATATTTTTTTTTAAACTTGAATAACTTTATTAATATTGATGTTATCAGAATGAAAACATATCATTTTGTAATCAAGAACAAGGTCTTTTGTTCTATCTTACAAAGATCTTAGTATAAAATTACTCTACGTTTTACAAATCACAAGTGAATTTAAAAAAAAGTGAAAATTTTTATATTATTTTTATTTTTTTTTGACTTTGCTTGTGATTTGTGAATTATGGAGTGATTTTTTACTAAGATATTTTTAAAATAGAAAGAAAAGTCTTATTCTTGACTACAAGATTATGTATTTCATTCTGGTAATATTAATATTTGCAAAATTATGCATATTACCAAAATTGATTTTGAATTTTTGAGGTATTTCAACTTTTTGAAATTTATGTAGATCTATTCTATATATGAAAGTAAAAAAAGTACCCAGTTATGTATATATTCAATCAAAAAATAAATCTGGATGGTCAAAAAATTTCAGATTTTAAGTAAAATAATTTTGTCTTCTATGAAAAAATTATATGAAAAATTTGCACAATTTTTTTTACAAATATTTTTCTTTAAACTAGAATAACTTTGTAAATATTAATGTTACCAAGATGAAATACATATTATTTGTAGCCAATAATAAGGTTTTTCTTTCTATCTTAAAAATATCTTATTAAAAAATTTCTTCATATTTTGTAAATCGTGAGTGAAATTGAAAAATGTAAAAAATTCTTCATTATTAAAATTTACAAATATTATATTAAGCTCACAAGTTACTATACAAGCTTGTGAGCTTACTTATGACTCGTGAGTTATATTGTCACACCAATATGTGAACAAGGATCTGAAGGATAACTAATATTCTTTAACTAAACTAACTTAAACTATTCAAATAATTTTCAGAATTTTTCAAGAATCACTAAGATCAACTCAATTCAATTATTTAATAATGAATTTGAAGGAATATTACAAGATGAGTTCTTTATTATATGGGGTTTTAGCATATCAAATCAGCTTGTCTACTTAATAAGATATATATGCTAAAGAGTATTTATACAAGATTAACTTAGGTTTTATTAAGAATTATGTGACAAATTAACAAATTAAAGATTTAATAGGGATATTTAATATGATATAACTTTATTAATAAATATAATAATAAATATAAAGATAAAATATATTATAAAAATAGAAATTATAAAAGTAAAGGTAAATATTAAAGAAGTAAATTATGTATTAACTAAAAGAAACAACTCTGTTCCAATCTCTTAAATTGTTGAAAACTTTAGAACTATTTTTCCAAGGTCAGGGAAGACTCATATTTATATTTCTTTAATTTTACTGTACACTATGATCTACAAAATTAATAATTTACCAATTTTAGCAAGAGGTAATCAACCTGGTGATCTACCTGTTATGTGCAACAGGTAATTTATCTAGGTGATCCACCTGGTAGTTAACCTGGTAAGCCACCTGTTACATGTCCTACAATTTACATAGATTATAAATAAACTATATAAAATAATAAATATATTAATAAATAATAATAAACTAAATTAATGTTCTACAATATATAGGCTCATGAGTCTTATAAACAGATTTGCAAGCCTATACATTAGACTCAAGAGTTCAACAAGCCCAGTCAAGCTTAGTCAAGTTGAACCTTAGTCAGGTTCAAGCTTGTAAGCTTTAGGCTTGCAAGTTACAAGCTTATAATATTAGACTTGACTTGACTGGACTTGACCAGGCTCAATTATACCTGCCACCCAAATTCAAAATCCAAATGCCGAAATCCCAAATGCCGAAATCCCAAATCCCAAATCCCAAATTATGATTAGTATTTTTTGCCGAAATCCCAAATCCCAAATCCCAAATACTAGTAATTTGGGATTTTGGCGTCCCAAATCCCAAATGATTTGGGATTTGGGCAACACGTATAGGCTCAATGAGCTTATGAGATCCTAAAGCTCATGAAGAATTTTAATTATGGCCATAAGTAAGTCTTAATTATTTAAAAAATTATAATTATTAAACAATCTTGCATATAAAATACTATGGTAAATTACTTAACCTTGAAATTATGGAAATAAAATATAAATGCTGAAACTTAATTATAAGTTACCTTATAATCTTGAACTTGGAAATATTGATATAACTTAACAAAAGATTTAATTCACTTTCTAAAATAATTGAATCAGTGGTGCCTTTTAAGGATCACTGTAATAAATAACAGTCTTACTTTTGGAAAAAGACTATAAACTCTTTAAAAAAAACTGTTAAGTTACTTAACTGACTTGTCCAAGAGAAAATAAGAGAAAATCAGGTGACAGCACTTACACAAAATTTGAAAACTTTGTATATAAATAAAAATATCTACACAAATTTTTTACTTAAAATTTCAAACACTACTTTAAAGTTTTATACTAATATCAAAAAACATAACATGAAACTTTGAAGGTTTTTGATTTCACAATAATACATATCAAAATTTAACTACAGATTTTGATTTCAAAGATTGGCAACATAATCAATAGCTTTCAAAATCTAATATTACAATATAATTTTGAAAACTTCTATGGTTCAGTGCAAAAAGATTTTGTAACTTAAAAAAAAATTTTTTTTGTTTGTACATAAGTTTTTAAATTTTAATAAATATATTTATAAATTTTTTAGAATGTAAAATATGTTTTGATCTGTCTTTTTACATAAGTTTTGTTATTATTTTTATATTTTTTTATAAAGTTTGATTAAGCAAAACTTTTTATATTTTTAAAAAAAGAAAAAAATTTTTTTGAAAAAAATAGATTTTTAATATTTCCATTTTGTACATATGATTTTATAAGTTCATATTATACAAGTGCATAACTGTACATATGATAAATATGCATTTTAAATTTCAGTAAAATTAGATTAGTAGTTGAGAAAAAATTAAGCTTCAAAGTTTAACAATTTGATTTTTTTTATTATATAAGGCACATATAGTAAAATTTTGTAAATTATATATATAAAAAGTAGTTTTTAATAAAATTTTTTAATTTACTTATAAATAATTAACAAAATTATATTATAATATATCTAATAATCTATTAAATTTTATAATTAAGATAAAAAATAAAATTTTTAATTTTAAAAAAATCTATTAATAATTAAGTGAAGTACAAATCTTTTTGCACTGGACCATATATTAATATAATTACTGATGTATTAATTCAAAATTTAACTTATTTTTTATAAAAATTATTTGTAAAATATAATAAATCCAGATATAAATAATTTTCTATAAGACAATTTGCAAATATAAATAGTGAATATTATAAAGGTATACTTATAATATCTTAAGAAATTGCAAATAATTTAAGAATTTTAAAAGATACAATTACTTGGTTCTTTTATAAATCTTTTTCATGAATGAATTAAATACTTCTTTCTTCAAGAAAGTCTCATCCAATTGAGAAATCAATTCACTCAAATAGATAAATGACTCATTTTCATAATTTTTATATTTCTCTTCAATATCAAGTTGCTTGTAAATTTCTTTGATTACAGAAACATTTTCTGGATTTTTCTTTCCATAATTTTCCTAAATATGAAAAATTCGAAATTATTAATATGAAACAAAAAAATCTGTAACATAAATAAAATAAATGAAAATGATTATTTACATCTAACAATTTTCTTTGCTCAGGAGTTGCTACTAATAATGCTTGGTTAATGCACCAGGAACACTTATTGTCTTCAATATCAGTTCCAATTTTTCCAATTACTTCTGGAAAACCAAAGCAATCAAGATAATCATCCTTAAGAAAGAAAAACCAAATAATATTAAATATAAATAATAAATAGAAACACTTGAAATAAATAAAATGAAATTACCTGAATTTGGAAATATTCCCCTAATGACAACAAGATATCTAGGGCTTGTTTATATGCACTTGGTTCTTTTATTCCTGCCTAAAATTAAATATCAAAATTAAGATTTTATTTTAATTAATAAATTTATGTTTACAGGAAATTTTTAAAACATGAATATTTTAAATTCTCACCATGTGCATTGCCAATGCTACAGGTAGATAAAATGAATAAAATGCTGTTTTATATTTGACAATGAATTTATATCTAATAAATTTCATGTGAAAAACAAAATTAATAAGTCTTTAAAATTCTCAAATTAATTGAAATTATTGAAATGATTGAAAAATTTACTTTTCCATAGAGAATCTATTCAAATCTACATCATCTTCAGGAGCTGTAACCAAATCTAATAACTGACCAAATTCAGTTTCAAGAGTAATCTAGAAAAAATACCAAATTAAAAATATTAAATAGTATACATTTTTTGATAAAAAAAAAATATAATGATTTTCTTTACCTCATGGAATAACTCTAACAAATCAACATAATAAGGATCTTGGCGAAAATATTTCTTTAAAAAGAAATAAAGTGCGCTTTCCAAAATTAAACAGTCATTAATAGCAATCATGTTTACTCCTTCCTAAAATAAATTAATCAATATAATTAATATATAAACTAACCAGAATTCTTTTAGTGCATTAATTAGAGATGCTAAACAATACCAATTTTAAATAATTTTAAACAAACCATTTTATACCAACATGGATTTCCGCGACGAGTGATAGAAGCATCCATTATATCATCAGCGACCAGGAAGAAAGCTTGTAGCTATAAAGTATAATCAAAAAAAAAACTCTGGTCAAAAGTTATTTATTTATTAAAATAAATAATTATTATTCTCAGTGAATCTCATACCCATTCGACACACCAACCAAGAACTCTCGCCTTAAACAATTCTTCAGAGGAAACTTTTCCATCCTTTAAAATTTCGAGCGTATCAATCACGGACAGGCCACGATTCATTTTTCCTTTATGATAAAAATTATTAAATGAACCAATGATTTATATTATAAAATACTACCCTATTTTTTTCACCTACCACCAGGGACATTATGATAAATGCACTACAAATATAAATATATGCAATTTGAATTCATTTTCAAAAAAAAAAGAAGCAAATTACCTAAAACAAATTACTTTATACGAGAAAATATTTAATAATTCACTTTTTTGAGCCATTCAACACATTCATTTGGAAACGATCGAGATCGAATAGTTGTTAAAAATTCTTCCGCAAGAGTTGGAAATACATCTTCAAATTCCTTTTTAGCTTTTGCTTTTTCTTCGGAAGAAGTCATTCTAAAAAACCATTATGATATTATTGTCGATTATTTGCACATTCGAATAGATACATTGCTTTTAAAAAAAATACCAAATAAATATTTTTATTTTCCGGAAATTTTTTATGTTCGCAATATAAAAATATCTCACCCCCTAATTTTGAAACGCAATTTTATTGGTTATATAATATGCAATTTGTTGCAGTTCCCGATAATCTTCATCCGATCTTAATTCTTTTTTTTTTAAACAATATACCCACCCTTTTCTCCTTGAAAAATTTATTTTCTTTTATTATTTAATATATAAATATAAAATTTAACTAGCTAACTTTAAAATTTAGAACATTAAGTACAGGAGATTCAAGAAACAACGATAATATTAATTTTATAATATTTAAAAAGTTGTACAACATTTAGAATTGTTTCGCGTAATATTTAATTATAATTTTTTTTTATTAGAGATTACCGAATTTAATTATAACACCATTAGAAGAATTATCAAAATCAAGAAAATCAATTCTTTCAGCCATAGAAATTTTAAGATACATAAGAAAATTCTATAGAATCAATTAGTTCCGTTAAGTCAAAACAAAAAATTCCAACATATTTCAATAAGACACAATTGGAATATATAGTCAATAATATATTAATAATTAGTATTGAGGACACATAAAATCAAAATTTATTAACTAAAATAGCCAATGATCTAAGTTTGTACCATAATGTACAAGATAATTTATTAGATCAAGTTTCAAATCTCTAAAATGAATTTCATGATGAAATAAAGAATCAAAAAGAAGCAAGTTCTTGTATTCTAGATTTACTTACAACTAAATCATCTGTATCAACCAATAATATTATATCAGAAAAAACCTAAACTTGCTGGTATTAATAGAGCTCTGAATGGATCAACTCATTAACTTGCATATGACTTGCATACTATTAAAAATATAATGGGTTGTAATCCACATATTAAATTTCATAAAAAATTCTGATTCATTTATTCAGGAATCAACTCACTAGGTATTCATCAGCTTTGGTAAGCAGTAAGTGTTGAAATTTAGCTAATAAAATTAATACATTTATTCTTATTATTATTAATATTATTATTTATATTTTACAGCCAATTATGAAGGAATGTATGCAAAAATTATTTTATAATCATAAGCATCCTTCAGATGGATTTGTAGAAAAAGCATTAAAAAATGCTATTAGAATAGGAGTGCCTGATAAATTCTTGAAGTTAGTGTTTAAATGTTTACCATTGACTGCACTTAGAGATAATTTCATTATTATTTTTAACAAGTGAGTAATTAATACAAATATTAATTTAATGTCAAGAAATTTATATAATTAATTTAATAAAATTAATTACATGATTAAAGGTTTTAAAAAAAATATTCATTAAATAATATAATTTGAGTGCAAATCATATATAATGTTTTACTTGACATTCAGATATTATCCTTTGAATAATCTTAATTTGAAGAGAAAAGAAAAGGGACATGTAAATTGACTTTATAATTAATAAAAGTTACGATTTAATTTAATTAAGTGATAAACAGTTATTGAATCCTTGAGATTTAGTGAAATACTTGTAAATAAACATTATAGCATACATAAAGTATAATCTGAAAAATTGTTGTTAAAGAAAAGTTGAGAAAGAACCTTTACTATCTATCACCAAATAAACCACAGATCATTCCTTCAAACATTAAACTGTATTTTTTTTTTTTTTTATTTCCTTTGGTCGTGTATAATTATCCTTTAATTTCCTGAGTGAATAATAGTATGTGTATAAATAAAAAATAAATAAAAAACAGGTATATGCTTATGACAATTTTATAGAAACCAAATTAAAACCAATAAATAATTATCAAGATAAAAACAGTTAATAAACGCAAACACACATTCACAAAATATTTACAAACCAAAAATTAAAAAAAAAGTCTAAATTTTTTTCTGATCTGAAATACTTACAAAAATTGAAAATAAGTTTATTACACATGCTATAAATTAATGAAGATACAAGAACGAAAATAATAATTAAGAATGATAATGAAGATGAAGTGAAGAAGATGAAAGATGAAGGTGAAGATCGTAAAGAAGACCATAAGAAAATAAAATAGCAAGCTTATTGAAATTCTTATGTCAATGAAAATTATTTATATTATCTACTATATATATCAAATAAAGAATATTGAGTATGTTATTCACTAAAAAATATAACGTTTAAACTATAAATATAAATCGAAATTTAATTAATTAATATTACTATCAGCTATTCTAGACCTTCATATTTACCTCTCGTCAAATTCAAAACGTAATATTATTAAGAAAGAAAGATAATTCTATTTTACCTTTAATTGTTCTTGAATTTAAAAATAATAATTATTATATAAATTTAAAGGAAAGATACCCCCGAATGATAAGTATGTATAAATTATTATTTTTTTTTAGACATTAGAATTCTCCACGAAACTCTTCTCAAAAACCTGATTCTGCTGAGTCATAAATTGAGTTAATATCTGTGAACAATTTGAGTTGTAGGTTGAGAATGAGTGGTAACAATTTGAGTTGCGGGTTGAGAATGAGTGGTAACAATTTGAGTTGCGGGTTGAGAATGAGTGGTAACAATTTGAGTTGCGGGTTGAGTTTGGGTTACAATTGTTTGACCATATTGTGGATAATACTGTGGAGTTGTAATTGATCTTGTGACATCAGACATCGCTTTTCCAGCTGTTTAAAAATATATATATATAACAAGATACATTAGTTCAAAGATTTATTAAAGAAAAATGATTATCTCTAATGTGAAAACTTACCATCACTAAAAAATTTAGATATAGGATCTTGAACATAAGGTTGATGATGGATGTATGTAGGTTGAGCCTGATGGACAATAGTTGTTGCGGGTTGAGGAGCTTGATGGACGATTGTCGTTGCGGGTTGAGGAGCCTGATGAACAATTGTCGCCGCAGGTTGAGGAGCCTGATGGACAATTGTTGTTGTGGGTTGAGGAGCTTCTTGGATAATAGTTGTTGTGGGTTGAGGAGCTTCTTGGATAATAGTTGTTGTGGGTTGAGGAGCTTCTTGGATAATAGTTGTTGTGGGTTGAGGAGCTTCTTGGATAACAGTTGTTGTGGGTTGGGGAGCTTCTTGGACAATAGTTGTTGTGGGTTGTTGCTGATATGAATATTGTGGTTGTTGCTGATATGTATTTTGTTGGGAATATTTTTCTTGAGGATATGCATTTTGTTGAGGATATGCATTTTGTTGAGGATATGCATTTTGTTGAGGATATGAATTTTGTTGAGGATATGAATTTTGTTGAGGGTATGAATTTTGTTGAGGGTATGAATTTTGTTGAGGGTATGAATTTTGTTGAGGGTATGAATTTTGTTGAGGGTATGTGTTATGTGGTTGTGATGAATTGACGGTTGAAGCAGGGTAAATATTATCTGTACTATTATATCGTTGCACTTTCTGCTCCGCAGATTGTTGTTGCTGCTGAGATTGTTGATAGCTGGGAAGAGGTGAAGAATTTGTATCTTGATAATGACTAGGGTCAGGAAAGTTGACACTACTTTTTTCACTTTGTTGAGATGACGTCTGGTTGACATCTCTTGATTGAGATGATTGAGATGATTGAGATGATTGAGGCGCTTGACGTGGATCATGCTTTATAATTCAAATAAATAATCAAGAAATTAAATAATTTTAGAATTTTTAGAATTTTAGCGATGATTTTTTTTAGAATCATTTCACTTACCCAAGTCGTAGTCTTGTTGAGAGTATTTAAGTCTATTTTAGATTATATAAATTAATAAATTAATGAAAAAAATTTCATGTCTAAATATTATTTAATATTTAATAACTTACAATATGGTCTTTGATGTGTTTGATCATACTATTAAAAAATATATATAAAGAAATGAATAAAAAATTTTTTTTTTTTTGCGAGAAAAATTACTTCGGTTTTCATATCGCACATAAAAAAATATAACTTAAATATAGATAGTATAGTATTGATATAAATCTAACCTGTTCAATCCAACCTGGTGGCAAAGGTCCAGACATTTTTTATAATGAATAAAAAAGAAATCGATAAAATTTTAAATTTATGAAAACTTGATTTTTTTGCTAAAAAAAAAAAAGAATTTTTTTAATTAAAGGTCATTGAAACAATTCAAAGAATTCAAAATGTTTATTGTTTGAACAACCATAAAATTCCAAATAAATTCTGTTGTATCATTATTATTGATTAATTAACATACATAACCCAGAAAAAAAATTTAAGTGACATGTTTCGGTTTCATTTCCATTTTAAGGATTAAAGTAATTTTCAAAAAAACTTTATTAATCATGAAATATTAAAAATTAAAAGTTCTTTGTTTGTTAATTACATTTTCAAATTTATGTAATACAAAAATTTCTTGGTAAAATCAAGGCTTTAAAAAGTAAACAGATCTCCACTTTACGATTGTAATGTTGTAAATTATCACCAAAACCAACTTTCCTTTTCTATGACTTCTTTAACTTCTCCTAATGTAATTCCTAAATTAAAATACCAAATCTTTACATTTTCCGCCCACTTTATCCATTTCCCTTTACTTTTCAGATTTTCCATATTTTCAGTTAGATTATTATTATTATTATTGCCATCATAATCTTCTTTTACAATCATCATTTCATCACTTTTCTCGTCACCATTTATTATTTCTTCTTCAAATTGGTCATTCTCATAATTATCATATTCTCTTGGAAATTGTAAAGTTGATTCATCATATCTAATTTCTAAGCACCATTTAGTATTAGGGAGTAAAACTTTTATCCAATTAAATGATGTACTTGTGCCTAATGCTGTAGGTCCAATAGGTTTTTTATTATAAGGTGAAATAGAAATTTCAATTCCCACTTGAGAAATATTTTTATCAGTAGTGGTAGTGGTGGTAATAATGATTGGAACTTTAGAATGTGTTTCAAGAAATTTTAATATTTCATCTCGGTTACCTATAATTATGAAACATGAAGTTTGTATAGGTGATAATGCTACTTGAAGAAATATTTGTGGTTTTATAAGACGTGTTACTTGTGGATTTTCTTCTAAAAACGCACAAAAAAAAAACAAGATTATTTCAGAGATATAATTTTATACACATATATATATACTTATTTATCTATTTATTTATACGTTTTATAAAAGCTTACGAATCAAGTATCCGTATTTCATTTTACAAATCAAAGAATGTTCTGAAGGGAACTTTTAAATATTTTTATAATGTCATAAGAAATTCGCGTGATCATTCGATGAGTAATCGGCGTGACCATTATTGTCATATATATATAGTAAACAGTGTAAATGATTTCTTTTTTACACGTGTAAAATTAAAGACTAGATATTTAATTCCCACATTATCATTTAGGATATCGTTCAAAAGATCTTGTTTCATAATTTGCTGACTTATGCAATGCAAATATAGAATTCATTGATTCTTCCTTAATAATTTTAATAATTAAGTAGTGGATGATACTATAAGATAATCCCTTTCTAATAAGAACTTCAAAAAGTAATGTCTAATAATGTTATTTAGGATCTTTGAATTATGCAAAATTATATAAAAAATATCTGTATATTCGAAAGTTGATTACCTATTTTAAGTATAAACTCGTCTTGTCATTTTTTTGGTAAATAAATCAATATTGCTACTCTGTCCTTTTCTCACCGCGAAAAGCATCGCGAGGAGTACTGTACATACAAGAACTTATCACATTTTTTCTTCATGATAAAGATATTAATAACATCATAATGTTTTATATTGTAAGGTAATTATATACCCTATCAATAAATTTTTTGTAACTTTCAAACGTATGAAATAGATAATAATAGTATTAAAGGAAGGTTATTATATTTCAAATTAATTTTATCGTTACATATGATATCAAAGTATAGATTATTAATCCGACCGAATATAGTTAAGACAATGATTTTATGCGATTGTTCTATCGGGAGAAATTATTTGTTTTGCAGACCTTTCCTCTTTCGTTAAAATATTGGCAAAAAATTTATGTGCATCTATGTTCGCCTCACATTTTTGGTCTAATTGAATTCATTTACTATTGTTATTTTTATTTAAATTGATTAGTTAAAAAAAAATCCTATAAAAATGTTCATATCTTATAAATCCAATTTCATAAATTTTATTAAAATTTTTTTATAAACAATTATAAAAATAAATTAAATAAATTATATATTATTTACAAAAAAAAAAAAATGGTCTCAATAGCAGTCGTAGGTTCCGACCCTATCGCTTATTTTCTTGTCACTCATCTCATTCATCATAATTACCATCCACAACATCATCCTGATAATATCAATAAGATTCTATTCATCACTGGTCATCCTTCCTTTTCCAACCCTAATATTGATTTGAAAAAATCAAAACACCTAAAAGTTAGAACTTATGATGATTATGAAATTTCCGTTCCTCGAGATGAAATTGATTTTAACGACAATTTAAAAACTTTGATAGAATTTAATCCTGATTATGTGTTAATTACATTTAAAGAAAATCTGATTATTGAAGCATTACAAAAGGTTGCGGAATTGGATGGAAAGACAGTGGTAAGTTTTTTTTTTTTGTTTTTATAGGTATTTTCGTATCCTTTTATTGGAATTCACTTTAACAACAAATTTAATAAAATGTTTACTTTTTTTTTTTTTTTTTTTTTTAAAAAAAAAAAGATTGTAACAACCAATGGTTATAATGCGCCAGAATTTGTAAGAGTAGCTTTACCAAACACAAAAGTTATTGAAGGTATCATTATGCAATCTATCTCGACTGTGGAAAACTCCATAAATTCTGAATTCATTCAAGAATGTGAAGGCTGCATATATCTTCAGTCATCTGTTGAAACACCTTTAATTCATCAAATTCTTCAACAATCAATGCTCACCACTCACACTTGTAATAACGTAAAAAGTCTTATTTACGGTAAACTCTTATTGAGTCTTGCTCATCCTCTAGTGGCTCTAAGTGATCAATCCTTACAAAAACTTATTCAAAATAAAAATTGGAGAAGATTATTAGCACTTTTAATGTGGGAAGCTTTAAAGGTGTTCAATAATAATGGAATTGTTCCTTCAGTATTATCCCATTTGAATATTTGTAATTTGGAACTTTCTACTTTAAACAGTTCTCTTCCCTTGTACTTAACACCTTATCTATTGTTAACTCCTAATTGGATATTAAAGCCAATGTTAAATAATTTTTATGATTTTTTAAATGTTGAATCACATCCTGTATTAAAAATGTCTGATGATTTCAAAAGCGGACGTAAAACCGAAATCGAAGAATTACAAGGTGAAATAATTAAATTGGCGAATAACAATAAATTAATTAAACCCAAATATAATGAAGGAATTTACCAATTGGTTAAATTGGTGGAAAAATCAATGTTTGATACTCAAGAAGGTTGGAAGATTGCTTTCACTTATGAGGAAGTTATGGCTTATATTGATCATGGTGAAATATCAAAAGTTTTATTTTAAATGTATTTCTACAAATCATTTATAAAATAGAGTTGAATCAAACAACAAACTTGGTTTATTTTTTATGTATTTTATTCTTTTATTAATAATAGATTTTCATGTATATTTTTAGACTGATTAACAATATTGTATAATTTTTACTTTTTTTCTTTCTTTTTTTTTTTTCTTCTTGTCTTGAATTTTATTAAACATAAAGGAGTTTGGTTATAATCATAATGAGTAAAAAAAATTAATTTATATATATATATGTATATCCACAATTGGCAATAATGAATTTTCCAAAATAAGAAAAAAAAAAGAATAATTTAAATTGATATTTTACTTGTTATCGGAAAATATTATTATATCCTTCGGCGTCTTTTTTGTTCCGGAGCAGAAACTTTAGATGATGACTCGGATTCTAATTTATCATCAGCATTATTTTCTGATATCGAAGCATTAGTTGTCACTGTAGAAGCCTCTTTCAGTCGTTGACGTATTGAAAGAACTGTGGATGATTGAGAATCCTACGAAAAATGACCAATCATAATATAAGCAAATTTCTTTAAATAATATTAAACTTGAGATTTTTCATACAGTTTGATAATTACTTCTGATTGTATATATGGTGTTTGGTTAGAGATAGAAGCAAAACTTGTCGATTGATAATCAATACCAGGTACCGGAGGTTCCTGACTAGGTTTTAAAAATTAATTCAAAATAATAATAATAAATTTATTTCTAAAATCATTAATTAATTCCAATTAATTTATGAAAATTTCCCAACCTTTGATAATTCGAATAATTGTAATTAGAATAATAATTTGAGTAATTATAATTGTTATAAATATAATTACTATATTCATGAACGGAAGGGAAATTTTGAACTAATGGTACTGGAAATGCTGTGGGAGGTAAAGGTGGTGTAAAGGATGTAGGATGTGTGGAAGACTCAGAAAATGATGAAAGATTTGGATTAACTAAAATAATAAAAACAATTAGAAAATTATTATTATTAAATTGAAGACATTATAAGAATTAATAAAAATTAATCTTTACGTTCTGTACTTTCTGTCTCTTTTTTTTTTCTGTATTTTTCATCTTTTCTCTCATGAGTTTTTATAGCGATCACTTTACGTCTATCTTCTAATTTTTGACGTGTATCTTCAATAGTTTCATATTCGGGTCCATAACGAACTCTCAAGTGATTGGCAAAAAAAACATGATCATCAACTTTTCTTTTTCCTACCCTGAAAGAAAAGTTGTAAGTAATTATACAAAAACACATTAAATAATATTTAATATTAATAATAATATTCATAATATTAAAATGCTTACCTAGCCTCAGAAATTGATTTAAATTTTACCCAGTAAACATCAGTAAATTCTTCACAAGGATAATTATCTAAGAACTGATGTCTAAATTAAATCAAAAATTTTTATGTTGATCAAACAAATTCTTTGTCACAAATATTTGAATTAAACATATATTGATAATTCTTACTCTTCAATAGTTCCATAAAGTGAAAGTAATTCGAGTAATTCTTTTTTTAAATTTAAAGCAGGTATGTTTTCTATTACCAAATATCTAATAAAAAATGAATTTTATGTTGGACATTTAAAATATTGAATATGAATGTAATGTTCATTATTAAAAATATTTTTACCTGGACTCGTTATTCACTGTGTAAACTTTGACAGCAGTTGGTTTACGACCAGCTCGATATTTTGGTCTTTCGGTTGGAACTGAACTTTGTATTTGAAAATCAAAATTTTTAAAAATATTTTATATGATAATAATAAAAAACTTGGAGAAACTACTAACCTTCAGCCATATCAAGATAAGAGACTTATGATTGATTATTAAGTCCACTATAATAAACACATGATCGTGTACGCTTTGAAAGATTATTTAAGAGAAATTTGTATTACATGAATTATTTTTGCATGTCATCATGGAAAAATTTCCTTCTTTATGCATTAATTCAATTATTGAAAATTTTTCCGATAATCCTCATTTTTTACATTCCTGCCTTTTAATTAATAGACATTGGTGCATAAATACTATCCCAGTTTTATGGCGAGATCCATTCCGTGTAGTGTCTTTAAAATCCTCGGCTTATTTAATGAATTCATATTTGCAATGTTGTTCAAACGAAGAGTTATATGAAATCTTAGGAAAATTGGAAAATTCAAATGTAGCACATTTTGATTACCCTCAATATTTGAGAACTTTAAATATATCTCGAATTGGGGTGGTTATTCAAATTTGGTTAGAACCTCAATTCTCCAATTTTAAATTCAATTTTGTGTGGGGTGAAAAACAAAAATATTATTTAAAATCATTTTGTAGATTTTTTACAAGTAGATCATCAGCGATTCATTCAATTGTAGTAGATTTGTCTCTATCATTACAAGAGAATGAAGTTTCTAAGATTCCCGAAATATTTACACATCGAAATGCTAAATCAAGTATTTCAAATTTACGAGAAGTTAAATGTCATGGAATGTTTGAAAAAACTGGATTTCTTCAATTTGTAGCTAAAACTTCAAATAATATTAATAAGTTATCAGTTTCAGTTATACGAACAAATAGTGAATTAACATCAATGGTGAATTTAATTAATGCTCAAAAATTTTTATGTGACATTTCAATTGAGGATTGTTATGATAATCTCAACATGATCGCTAGAGCTTTAAGTCACAAATCATCATTAAAACATATAAAGTTAGTAGGAGGAAGATTTAATTGTGAAGATTTAAAATCTTTAACGAAATGTTATCAATTGAAAACTTTGATGATCGTTGAATGTGAATCTCTAGAAAATGATTCAAAGGATGAATTTTATAACATTGAAAAAATTCAATCACTAAGTAAATTATACAAAATCACATTAAGAGATACTTTTTTACCAGGAAAATTATTAGCATTTTATTTTCAAGCAGCTAATTCTAAAATTCAAGAAGTTGAATTAAGTGGATTAATGCCATTCGATACTCATATAATAATCAAAGCAATAACTTTACACTGTCCAAATATTAATAAATTGAGTGTAACAATAGATGAAGGACATTACGATAATCTTTACGGATTACTTCAATCATGCAAAAAATTAACTAGCATTTTAATTGATAGTATTACGAAAGAAGAAGATGGATCATTTGATATTGATAGAGATAAAGAAGTAGAAGCAAATGAAATTTTACCATTATTTGGAAAATGTATTCCATCATCTTTAAAATTATTAAAGATTTGGTCAAATTGGGTATTTACACCAGAAAGTCTTGAGAAATTTTTTATTAATTGTTCAGCGAAAATCGAAACTCTTGATATTGCTTATTGTGAATGTATCACCGATCATCACCTTGATGTTTTTTTAAAATATACCAAAGGAATTTTAAAGAATCTGGATATAGATCGAGCAAGGAATTTATCCATAGAGGCATTAAGTTATGCTCGACAATTCATGAATATTGAAGGTAATGGAAATTCTTATAATGAAGTCCCTTATGAAAGTTCTTTATGGGGATATCATAGATTTAGAAATAGTAATAATAGTGAAGATTCAAATCTCTTTGAAGAAGAAGTTGCAACGAGTTAATATTGAAATAGATTTATTAAGTATATAAATATTTATTTATTTTATATATTTTTAATATTGAGTATATTAAATGGTCTAAAATTTAATATAATGCAAATATATATATATATATATATATATTTGATTTTTTATTTGATTTTTTTCGAACCTTAATTTGTAAACATGAAAAAAAGAATATACCAGTAATAATTATAAAATAATTAAAGTTTATGAAAAATTAGATTGAAAAAAATAAAATAAAGAAATAAGAATTTATTTTTGTTAAAAAATATTTATATTTAATTTGTAAACATAAAAAAGAATATATACAATATTTAAAATAACAATTTTTAAGAGATATTATTTTTAAACTGGAGATTTTTGCAATATTCCATTTTCAAAAACCTCCAGTGGACTTGAAGATTTTCGCCATTAATCTTTGGAGGTTTACATTTTTGAAAATATTTCAAATACTCCAACTATTAACTTTGCGGAAGTTTACAGGACCCCGAGCAATCTATATAATAGCCATACTAAGGATTTGCGTAGCCATCATATTTAAATGTCATAATATTTCATTATATTTTATAATAGTAATCTGCTTAACGGCTATCATTTTTATTCTAGTCATATGATTAGAATGCGTAGAGGATATGGATAATTTTACGAATACGGAAAAAAAAGAAAATAAATAAAAAAATAAAGATAAATTTTTAAGGGTCATTGTCATAGTACTAAGACGCTGCGGTATGATCAATTTGTTTCCCGATTATTGTGTAACTTTAGAAAATACTTGTAATTAAAATAATTGTCAATCGTTGCTACATATAAAACATTTTGTTTTAATATGTCAAAAACGGTATTAACCTTAAATATAAGAATGAATTGCATATTATATTAAAAGAAAAGAAATATATGATCAAAATTGAGAGAAATATTGGTGGTTAAACTTCGAACGGGCGAAAAATTTTAAAACGACAATAATTCACTCAATTATGGTGAAATTGGTCTGTCCTTTTTATATGTTATGTAATTCTTTCTTATCTTTATAGTTACTTAGTATCATTTTTGACATTTACTTATTAAAATAGAAATTTTATATGTCGCAACGATCGACGATTTTGGATATAATTATTATACAGTATATAAAAATAACATAATTATATATACAAAATCGTCGATCGTTGCAACATATAAAACTTTTTATTTTAATAAATAATATCAAAAATGATACTAAGTAATCTAAAGACAAGAATGAATTACATATTATATAAAAAGGACAGACCAATTTCACCAAAATTGAGCGAATTATTATCATTTTAAAATTTTTCGTCCGTTCGAACTCTAACTGCCAATAGTTCTCCCAATTTTGATGATATACGTCTATTCTTTTTACATGATACGAAATTCAATCCTTTCTTTAAGATTACTTAGTATTATTTTTGACATTTACTTATTAAAATAAAAAGTTTTATATGTGGTAACAATTATGAATTATTTCTGATTCTAAAAAGTAAATATTATATCGTGCGAAATGATTATCCAATTTAATTACTTTAATTATAAGTCATAATTTTTAATTTACTTATTTTTGCTATATTTTTTATATTTTTGAATGTCATAAAAATTTTGCTTTGAACTATTATAAGTATTGCTTGGGTTAACCTCTGCAAGTTGTACAAGAAAAAATAACAGATATTATCGGTGTAACTAGACCAATATTACCAATATTGGGGGATGTCTAAAGCCAGGTACATCACGAAATTACCTTAAATTAATTAATGCTAGGGTTAAGGTCAAGTATAGATTAGAATTTAATATATATAATATGTAAAATTTCCTCCCCGACACTTTTTATTAATGTACCAAGACATGTTTAGACATCCGTTTCTTATATTTTTTCGTGTTTTTCACTTTTTTCTTCGTCGGGCTGATCTGTGTAAACAAAAAATTCACGAATTTATTGGCCATAGTCAACGGAAAATTTCGTGATGTACCTGGCTTTAGACGACCCCCAATATTGGTTATTCCAAAAATATCTCGAAAATGGAAGGAACATCAAAAACGAAACTTTCGCATTTACTAATAACTCTGAAAATTCATGGGCACAACGGTTTGACGAATTAAAGTATCGAGTCGCGTCTTTTATACTAAAACTTACCACTCCATGTCAATGGCTAATTCTTACAGTGGCTCCCCTTCATCTCCGTATAACGAAGAAACGACAGGCATGTGAGGAAAATTTTGGTGTTCAAGCTTAATAAAATTAGTATTTATCATAGTGTTGCATATGTAATAGAAGAATCAAAGCAAGAGAAAGCAGCTATTGAAGAAAAAATTATAAACGAAGAATACAAGATCTGGAAGAAAAACTCTCCATTTCTATATGATTTGGTTATTACTCACGCGCTTGTATGGCCAACTTTAACGTGTCAATGGTTTAAAGATATTGATAGGTAACTTAATTCATATCTTTGATGTGAAAACCTATTTTCTTATTATCTTTATTACAAACTTTTTAATTCTATTTTTTCATCATGTATATTTTAGACCTGAAGGAAAGGATTATACTGTTCAACGTATATTAATCGGAACTCATACATCAGATAATGACCAAAATTATGTTGAAATTGCAAGTATTCAACTTCCAAAGAACGATGTCAACATAGATCCTCGTAAATATGATGAAGAGAAAGGAGGTATAAAAGTGAATATTGGATATTCTTTTATATAATCTAATGGATCAATTCACAATGAATAATTCAATATATATATATATATATATATTCTATATATTGAGTAGAAGTAGGAGGTTTTGGCGGTACTACTGAAACTAGAATTAAAGTTATTCAAAAAATTAATCACGATGGAGAAGTTAATCGAGCACGTTACATGCCACAGAATCAAGATATAATTGCTACCAAGACTGTTGAAGGAGATGTTTACATATTTGATCGTACAAAGCATCCATTAATACCTACTGATGGTATTTGTCAACCTGAATTAAAGTTGAGAGGTCACACTAAGGAAGGGTGAATATAACTTATTAACTTTAACTTTAAATTTTTATTATATTTATTATAATTTTCATAATAATTAGTTATCAAACTTTTTTATTCCTATTCCTACAAGATACGGTTTATCATGGAGTCCATTTAAAGATGGTCATATATTAGATGCTTCAGAAGATGCCACTATTTGCCATTGGTTAGTGAAAATTTATTCCTCTCTCTCTCTCTTATAAATTATTATTAAGTTAAAAGATATTATTTGTAATTATAATTAGGGATATTACTGGGTATACTAAGGATACACGAACAATGGATCCATTTCGAGTTTATCGAGGACATGAAGCGTTTGTTGAAGTAATTACATTATATATTTATATTTTTGATATTTTAATATTTTTAATTCTTATAATCTTTATTTAGGATGTAGCATGGCACACTCTTGAAGAGCATGTATTTGCTTCAGTAGGCGATGATCAAAAACTTTTAATGTATAAATTATTCCATCACATTATTCAACTACGTATATTTCATATTTATCATATTCATTTCTTATTTTTAATATGTATATATTTTAATATAATATAGCTGGGATACACGAGAAGATAAAGCAGATAAACCTGCACATTCTGTTGTTGCCCATCCAAGTGAAGTGAATACAGTTGCATGGAATCCTATAAACGAACATATCTTAATTACTGGTTCCGGCGACAAGGTATAAATTACAAAATTTTTTAAATTTTGTGACAGTTTCATTCATTCATTAAAGTTATATATCCAATTTTTTTTTATTTTATTTCAGACTCTTAATTTGTGGGATCTTCGCAATCTCAAAATTAAACTTCACACATTAATTCATCATCAAGGTGAAGTCTTACAAGTTGAGTGGTCTCCTCATGATGAAACCATTTTGGCATCTGCTGGAGGTGATAGAAGGGTCAACATATGGGATCTAAGTCGGATAGGTTCGGAACAGACTGCTGAAGATGCAGATGAAGGTCCACCCGAGTTATTGGTAAATAAATGTGTTTATTAGTTATTTTATTTAAGTATTCATGATATGTATACCTCTAATTATATTCTAATTATATTCTAATTTTATTCTAATTTTATTTATCAATAAAAATTATTATTAGTTTATGCATGGTGGTCATACCAACAAGATTTCTGACTTCAGTTGGAATCCTCATATACCATGGGTGATCTCTAGCACTGCAGAAGATAATATTATTCAAGTTTGGCAGCCAGTAAGGACATTATATGAAATTATTAAATATTAATTAATTTATTGAAAAATCTTTACTAATCTCTTTTTTTCCCCTTATTATATACATTATTTGTAAAATTATTTTAGGCAGCAAACATTTATTCTATTGATGATAGAGAAATTCCTCCAGAAGAATTGGAAGATTAAATTTTGTAATTTTTCTTTAACATTTTCATTAATATATTTGAACTTAGCGAGTGATATCTAATATAATTGTTCTACATCATTCAACTGTTAAATATACATTTTTTCGAAAATTGTTATAATAAAGTCAATGATTATTTTAATTAGAAAAGAATTTTTGCGATTTTTTTTTAAAAAAATTTTTAGATATTAAATTATATTTTTTCTAATAAACTTTAAATCTCAATTATAAAGTATACAAATAAAAATACAAAATAAAAAAAAAATAGTTTAAAATCATAAGAATTTAATAGTGAATTTTTTTGATCATTCCTTATGCACTTTTTTTCTCTACTTCATCCGGATTAACAAATGTACGACCTGTCTCTACTCCCGGCACTAAATAAGAAATATCATCCCAAGGATGTCTATAAAGACCTTGTTTCAATCGTTTTTGGTCTAAATAATGACCTATTAAAGAAACGGCGAAAATACAAAGATTAATAAACATAGTAAATTTCACTAGAAAATGAAAATGGGATTGATATTGTAAATGATAATAATAATTACCAGTGAAACCTATACTTCTACCAAGTACAAACAATCCATTCAATGCACCAATCTTGATATATTCTTCAGCTTCCTCTCTGGTGAATGCACCTGATTCACGTAATAAATCAACAAAACAAACAGCGATCGCTCCATCTAAATTAAGAATTAGTGAATCCTTTTTAGCAGTAGTTATTTCTTCTACCGCTAGCGCATAATCAAGTAATTTTGTGGAAGGAAAATTGGTTATAGCAAAGTTTTTAATTATTTCAACGCGAAAATCAGGATTGTTACGCGATTTAATCTTATGCCCAATACCAAGGATACTAATTTGATGAGATCAAAAATAAATAAATAAATAAATAAGTAACTGTAGAAATTAAAAATTTTTAAAAATTATATAATGAATTCTATATCTACAGCTTATTTTGTCTCCGCATGGAATTCACAAATTCTCTAGGTGTTAAACTTTTATCATATGCACTAGTGAATTGTTCAGCTGCACCATCAAGAGCGCCTCCGAACCGATCACCCTATAATAAATATAATAATTATAAAATACATGTTCTAATATTACTCTTTCTAAATCAAATCACACAAAAAAAAAGTGGCCTACTATTGTCAATAAACCCGAACATAAACTTGATATAAGATCTTTTCCTGCACGAGCAGTAACAATTGTGTTATGGGCACTAAAACGATACAATCAAAAAGATATTATAAAGTTATTTTTAATTTTTATCGATTGATAAAACCCAACAAATAAATATTATATTATTGAACCTACCCGGAAACCGCAGGACCATGATCAGCGGTCAACATAAGAATCATTTCAATAAATTTACATGCATATTCTGGAAGACGTCTTTTAAACCAAAGTAAACTCAAGACTCCACCAATTCCAATACTTTCTTTAAATACATCTGATATTCTCATTCCTGCGTACATCAATTCTTGCCCACGGTCATCACATATAGTTGAAACAAAACTTGCAGGTTTACGAACTAAACCAAGTTCTTGTGCCCAAGAATAATCTATAGGCACTTTTGGAATCTCGGGTTCTGAAGTTGGAACGATTATCCTTTCCGAAACAAGTTTTTGGTAGGTCTCATGTAATGCCAAAGGTAATTTTTCAAATGTTTCGGGAACAATAGCCCCCGCGTCTTTTAGTGCTTTATTTTTTGCGTCAGCGGTTTCTAAGTCAGATTGAGCCAATGCCCCCGCATGACCAAATTGTACTTCAGTTGCAAACATTTTTGCACAAGTTCCAATGCACCAAGCGATCAAAGGTTTTTTTATACGTCCATCACGAAGAGCATTACAGACTTGATATTCTTCAATCCCACCAACTTCACCAAGTAATACCAATACTTTACAATTAAGATCATTTTCGAAACGTAACAAATGATCAATGAATGTTGAACCGGGATATCGATCTCCACCAATGGCTATTCCTTCATAGACACCATCAGTTTTTCTAGATATGATGTTGTTCAATTCGTTGGACATACCACCAGATTTAGAGACATAAGATACTGAACCAGGTCGATACAATTTTGATGAAATTATATTGTCCATCATACCACCCGTATTACCAATTTTGAAACAGCCTGGTTTTATACCTCCAACAGTAGCAGGTCCAATAATCAAAACTTCTCGCTTTTTAGCTTCATGAAGAATTTTCCGGGCATAACGTTCGGGAACACCTTCTGCTATAATACTAATTGTTTTGATTTGCTTGTACTTCATGAATTCTAAAGTTGAATCATAAACGGAACGAGAGGAAGCAAAGTTTACAACTGTATCAACTTCCTGAAACTTTGAGATTGCATCTTCAAAGTTGTTAAAAACATGAAGTAAGGTTTCTTTGGTTCCCCAATAAAACTTCTGTACATGATTACCCCCAAAAGGATAAATCATCGCGGCAACAGAGGGGACTTTACGCTTGCAAATATAATCAAAATCTAACATCCCTTGTATTGCACGAGGTTGCATCCCGAACACAAAAGCACGTGTTTCACTAGTGAATGCAGTATACCATGGACGTTCATGAGTCTTTAGATTTTCAAAATATGTCATCCTTTCACGTGGATTAGCAATTGGAGTTACTGGTCTGGAATAAGATTCTTTTGTTTCCTCATCTTGATAATTATTTTCAATTATAGCAGGCTTTTTACCAGTGACAGAATTTGTACCAAGAATTTGATCTTGGAAAGAGTTGACGGATCTACTATCTTGAGAGGAGGCATTATTATCAAGTCCTGATCCTTTTCCTAACAATGCTAAAGGTACGATCTCAGTAATATGAGTCTCTGGACCAAAGACTTGAATTTCAACACCAATGTCATCACCCAACTGTCTCATAGCCTTTAACCCCTCTTGATAATTAGGACCACCACGACGTACGAATATTTTTACTTTATGTGAGATTAGCAGTTGTTTGAATTCATGTAACGCACGTATTAGACCTTTAAAGGTAACAGCTACATTTGTGAAATTTGCAATTCCACCTCCGATAATAAGTACTTTCCCTTCCGGATGTGGTATAGGATTACGAGTCATTAAATCAAGTATTGTCTTCGCATATTCATAAGTTTGAGTCTCAGTTGGAGCACCCGAATATTCACCATAATTAGCGAGCTCATGTGCGAATCCTAATGCGGCAATTGCATCGCTAAATTAAGGTAACGATAAATAATAATTTTAGTAAGTATCAATAAAAAAAATGAATATAAGAATACCTCTATAATCACACATTCGGGACCAGTAAATTTAGTGATTATAGAAAATTGTGATTATATAGCGATCTTTTTATATAGCATTACTACGCCACAAAGTGTGTTTATAGTAAATGTGATTATAGATCCGACTGTATATACATGTTTAATCATTTACCTGTAGACTACTGAAGCACCACCACCAGCAACCATGGTCCATATTCTTCCATCTTTGTTTAGAACTGTCAATTTCAAAGAAGCTCCTGTTTTTGCGTCCAACTCTTGTATGTTTGCTTCCTCCTTAGTCAACTCTCGACCAAAAGGTGCAGGAAATTCCATGGGTGGACCTTGATCCGCATGAGTTTTTGTTGTTGTCTCGTGACCAACAAAAATTCCAGTATTTTGTGAAGCTCGAGCAATTGCCCATTTTGGACCAGCTTCAAATTCTGCAGTTTGATCTAATTTCGCTGCCAAGTCCAAATAATATATTACTGGGGTTTCATCGTCAGATACAGTATCTAATACAACCAATGGATTGATTTCAAGATACGTGAAGTGTAAATCTACAAATACAGCATATAGACGGGAAATAAAGTGGATCAATGCATCTTTTTTGGCCTCAGGAACATTAACGAGCAATTTTTCCTTGATTTCTTGAGATGAAGGATAATCTTGATCAACAGGAACCAATAGCTTCAATGCTTTTGCGTCAACATCACCAACTTCGATACCACCTTCATGAGTAAACAAAATATAATCCCCGTCACGTACGGAATTAATATTTATATAATATTCAGTATGTGAAGGGTGAGGAATAAATGGTTCAACTAGAAAAGATTTTAACACTCCGTTCACGTTGTCTACCTAAAATCAATTATCATGGTCTACGTGAACAAGATAATTATAAAAAAAAAATAAATAAATAAAATAGATATCATTATTATTTAATTAACCTTTATTTCTTTGCCAGCTCTTTCAATAATCCATTCTTTAACCTGTTGCCAATCAGCATTCAATAATAATAATCCTGATTTTCCACGTCTTTTTATGAGCTGATCTGGTTTAACGACTAACTTATCAGTCAATAACCAAGGATTTATACTCTCTAAGACATTTAGAGTTTGGTTAACATGATTATTAAATTCAATTTGGGAACAATTATTGGTAACGTTGGCTAGAATGGAGGTATCAAAAATAACTTGGGCAACTTTTAAAATTGGTGGTGAAAATCGAGCAACCTTTTCTGTACTAACTTCGGAAGATAGGGAGGAACGAAGTAACCAGTAGGCCAAGAGGAGTTTCCCGTCATATTCTCTTATTGCCTTAGCAGACATTTTTTTAATTAATAAAAAATCAGTGAAAAGATTAAAATATTTTAACTAATTTTAATTATATTTGGCGATTTACCGTAGAAAGTTTAAATTTATATTCATTTTTTTTATAAATATCACATGAGAATTTATATATTCCGATCTTCCAGATTTAGTAGATTTAGTAAGTTCAACAGTTAGTGTTATCTCGATTACATGCATAAAATCTCATTCAAATTATATTTGATTTTTAGTATACATGTTCCCAAAATTGATTTGGGTATTTCGATTTTTATTTTATATATGGATATAAAGAAAGTATCGGCATGTATAATTTTTACCTTTTTGCTACCCAAAATAACCGTTCATCTTCACATGCTTCTCGGATCTTTTCCTCTGTAATTATAGCCTTTACTAACACTCGTTAATTGTCAACCAATTAAATAAATTACCCAACACATGATGTTTGCCCCAATTTTAGTATTGCGTAATCATAATATTGAAATGAGTTAATTGCATTGTTCGATGTTTGCAATTTATGTTACCATCCCACCCCATGTATACTACATTGAGAAAATAATAAAGTTCTTTCTGTTAATTATAATTATCGTTATTTTCCATTTAATCCAATGAATAAATTTTATTATAATTTTTCATTTTTTTACCTTAAACCAGCAAATAAAATAAGATTTTTTAAATTTATTCATAAAATAAAAATATATTTGGAAGCAAATTTTTTTTTTTTTTTTTGTAAAATGTAAAGGAAGACTAGAAGTTTAAAGTATTTCTCGATTGATTAAATTTTGAAGGTATTATTAAACTTAGAAATTTGATTGGATAATAAATAGCATCTATCACTAAAATTTTAGAACTCGAACAAAATAGGATGGTAAATATGAATATTAAAGGGTTTGGGTAGAGATATCAAAACTCGACATCGATTCGTAACACCACTAATGTCAACAATAACTGAAACTGAAGTAGAGATAAATGACAAATTTACAAAGAGGTTTTTATTTCTGAATCAAAAAAAATTGTTCGAAATCTCGGTATAGGTATTGACGCATAAAAATTTTTTATATCGCACACCATAAATGCTATAACTGGGGGTGGGTTAAAGCAGAGTAGGATTCATGTGATGATTTCGGAAACGAAATCATATCACATGTAACATAAACCATTTTTATAGCGCCAACGGGTTTACCGATACTATTTTATCGTTTTTAAATATTTATTCATGTTGTTTATTAGAAACGTAAGTATTTCATCCTGTGTAAGTCTTCTCTTAAAGCTCACGTAACTTAAAAATATTTAGTTTCAGTATTTTGTGGTTTTTTTTTTATCACTGTTAGTAAATCGGCACACCATTTAGATCTGATTCTCGCGACCAAGTTTTATATTCGTATTTATTATTTTTTTCAATTGAAATTGAACTGTAAACAAGGTATTTAATGTCGAATTATTTTATTATTTTAAATTTCTAGATGTAAAATTTAATGATGTCTTTTTAATTTAGATTATTTGGATTATAAGAGTTAGAATAGATTATATCAAAATATAATGTATATGCGAGTTTTAAGTAATTTTATTAATAAATTATAATTATACATTTAAAAAGTAATTTTAATAAACATTAAACTTTATTAATTTTTGTGAATTACAATACATCATTAATAAATGGATTTAAAGATGCTTCTAAATTATTTATAAAAATTTTTGCTTGATTGGTGCCACCCATTTCTTCAATGTTCCAATATTTGTTATGCAGCCTTTCTGTTAATTCATTTAGTACATGTCGTCAATTTTCTACTTGTTTTTCTTCTTCTGTTTGTTCTGGTTTTTCTACAATAACCAACTCTCTTTTTTCATAAATTTCAAATCCATTTTCTTCAAATAATTCTTGAAATTTTCTCCAAGCATCATTAGTTAATAGTGGAGATCCATACATATGTTCATGAAATATATGTTTACATGGTAATAAATATCTATTGTGAAATAAACAATGGCACTCCATTGAAGTTAACCTGGTACACATTTACCTTTTTCAATTCTATCTATCACTGCATAAGCTTCTTTGATAAGCATTTGTTGAATAGGAAAAGGAAATTTGTGAATCTCTTCTAGCATTTCATTATCTACACCAGATATTGATATTTTTTTATGCAAAAATTAAATGCAGTATTTTCTGAATCCGCATTTTTTTTTATCAATAGCAACAATTTTGTAAGATACACCTATTAATTTATAAAAAATATGTAAATAAATTCAATTTTAAATATTTTAAATTTATAATTGTATTAAAATATATTATTAAAATATATACATACCAATTAAACCATGTAAAAAGATGTTGTTCTTTTTAATTCACTATGAAAAGATTCCAATGCATTTGTAGATGTAACTTGCAAAAGAAGAGGAGAATGTTGTCATGCCCAAAGAGCCCATTGATGAGAATTTTTCATATAATTTCTCTTAATATAATTACAAATTGCAGATACAGAACATTGTTGCAATGCATTTTGAATAAATTGTTCACATCCAATTTTTGTTCTTTTATACATTGCACCCATTATTAGTTCTTTTGTTTTTTTATCATAAATTTTTGACATCTATGTTCTCATAATATGAACTGTGCAAAAAATTATCTTACACTCTGGTTCATTTTATACCTGCCACCCAAATTCAAAATCCAAATGCCGAAATCCCAAATGCCAAAATCCCAAATCCCAAATCCCAAATTATGATTAGTATTTTTTGCCGAAATCCCAAATCCCAAATCCCAAATACTAGTAATTTGGGATTTTGGCATCCCAAATTCCAAATGATTTGGGATTTGGGCAACACGTATAGTTCATTTGCTTGAAGACCTGAAATTTTTTTTTTATACTGTTGGCTTCAATGTTACTTTGATCTATAAGAATATATGCAGGAGACCAATTTTTACAACTGTTTTTTACTATTTTTAATGCTTCTGCTATGATATTACTATCTTCAGTACTAACAAAAAAATGTGTACCAATATTCCAACAACCATAATAATCTCAGATATATAAAGTAAATAGGTGCCAATTATATCTGTTAATTTTGTGTGTTGAATTAATTAAAGTTAGCCATCCATGAAAACTAAGCTTTTTAAGTTGTTCTGGATATGCAAATACAATACCATTGGTAGATTTTTGTGAAACATAATAACATTCACAATAATAATCTTGATTTTTTAAATATGATATAGTTTCTAATATATCAGATTCTAATTTGATATTATCTACTAGATGTGTTTCCATAGGTCCATATAATTTATATTTAATATTTACAACTTCTTTACATTTTAACACTAGTCAAAAATTGATAAATCATACACATATTGGATACCTGATATGTGCATGGTATGTCCCTAATATCAGGCATATATCAGGTACCTGATAGGTGTAGAAAATATTTTTTTACACTTATCGGATATCCGATATATATATAAAATATTTTCCACATCTATTGAGTACTTGATATATGCCTGATATTAGGAACGTACCATGTACATATCGGATACCTAATGTGTGTATGATTTATCAATTTTTGACCAGTATAAATCTTTAACACTTTCATCAAGATGTAATTCATTATTTGCATATTCTTTAACAGCCTTTACAATTGCTACTGGAAAATAATTTTTAACAGTTTCTTGCTTAACTATTGTTCTAATAGTTTCAGAATGTTTGAGTCAATCACTTTCTATTAAAGTATGTACATGATCTGAAGAATTATTATAACATTCAATTCAAACTAACTTATCAAAAACTAGTCAGATAATTTTAATTTTTATGAAACAAAGACCAGATGGTCTAACCAATGTTGTTCTACATTTATTATTTGGAATATCATCTTTTTGTGTACTTGACTTATGGTATTTTGTAAAACAACATGCAAAAACCTTCTATCATAGGTCAAAATTTAAATATCGGGTATTTATTGGACACCTATCGGACACCTATTGGAAAAGAATAAACATATCAGGTACCCGATATGATTGATTATTAAGTACCTGATAATTAATTTTGTAAATTTTATCATGTGTCCAATATAATAGTGATAGGTGTGAGATAATTTTATTATTATCTCAGGTTTCCAATATTGTCTTGAATATCAGATGCATAATACTAAAATAGTAATATCAGGTGAATAGTATTCTAATTATTTTATTTGGATATACAATATTATTATATACTCATTGTATTAGATAATCTCTTTATTATTTATTATTAAATAAAATAAATTAAACATTAAATCTTCTATTCAATGGAATTATTGAAACATAATTTTTCTTATTCTTATTCTCCACCTGATAGTCTATCTTAATGGCTCAACCATATATTCTATACATTGCAATAATCAAATTTATACTTTCCTCATAGTATTCTTTTCTCCACAACTCTGTATTTGATACTTTGGGTGTCATAAATTTATACTTAAATCGAATACTAGAGGAAGACACATTTTTGTATCATTTGATATAAGCTAAAAGATGTATTCTTGGTCTATTTGGAAGGGTAAGTGTATATTCAAAGTAATATTGTACCTTTCCAGAATAAATATCACTTGTTCCATTTCTAAAGACCTCCTATTTTGCTAAGATTATTGCATTATTTTCATATCGGCCTGTGATTTTGGATCCAAATATTTCATTTCCTATTATTAATCTTGCATGTTGATTCATAATCACTTCTATACATGCCTTCACATTTTTCTTTTTTAAATTATATAATATTGCATACCACCTACATAATCTTTTTTGGATTTCTACTGGAATACTTACCTTTTTATATGTAGGTGCTAACATATGTCCTGGTATATATTCGGTGCCATAGATCTTATTGGATGTATCATGTCTCAGGGAGATAAAATACTGTAACTCTTCTCTATCAAATTCATTAGTTACAGCTAAGCTGCCAGCAGCTTTCTTCGGTACAAGAAATTGAAAAAACTTTTCCAAAAGATCAGATATCCATTGATAGGAAAGATGATAATCTACAAGCAAATTTTTGAAAACTATTTTCATAAGTTTGGATTCGATCTGCCAATTACTATTGGAATAAAAACCTATTAAAGATTTGTGTTAAATTTTATTTACTATAATTCATATATCCAATATCTATAGTTTACCTATATATCCATTTAATACTCATATGGAAATAACCAAAAGCTATAAATGAAACCATAATCCCATATGCATTCAGGAATATGCATTGATAAATGGATATTACTTGTAATGAATTCAGGTCTTAAGTTCTTTCTATATTTATGGACATATCCTTTAATTGTTCTTGTGCTTCTTGCAGATTGTCTTCTGTAACAAATCTAACAACCAATAAGTTACATGCCCAAACAAAATGTCCCAAAATCTTTTTATCATTATCATCTAACATGTCCCATAGAATTGTTGTTGCATAAATCATAATGAAAATCTTCCATTGATTAGCGGTGAGCTATAAAAATCCTTCTCCAATAGCAATTTTTAAAAGAATTTGACCAATATCAAATGGAAGTTGAATGCATTCCTATCTATTATAAAATAATAAATAATATGCTTTATGTGCAATTGATCTTTTCTATTTTAAAAATATTAAGTTCTTGTAGTTATATTCTTTACTCAAATGAATGAACTAATGATAAATGTAAAAAAAGACTTAATCATGAAAGGCAACAATGTTATCAACAAAAAAAACAGTCTACTACTACTGTACTTGCTGATATAACTAATAATAATAATAAAAGAGATAATCACTTAGTATCAAGAAGAAAAGCAAGACAACAGAATGAAAAAATAATGGAGATGCAATTAGAAAAAAGAAAAATACTATAACAAAAGAAAGTCAACTTGAAATCATACCTTCAGTTCCAATCTTAAAAGCACATATCTATCCTTGAATATTCAAAGTTGGTATATACCTTCCAACACCTGTATTCTCTCATGGACAACTATATGTTGCATGTTCAAGGGTGACAACTCAAAAAAACTTAAAAGTTCTTACTAATGAAAGAGTTGGTTTCACAAAGAATATTGTATATCTGGAAGTTTTTTATTAGAGATATGTATATATTGCAAGTTTATAATAATATTTATAGAAATTAAAAGTAATATATTAATATATTAATATGTAATTATATAAATAATAAATAATAAAATAACTAATAAAACAATAATAGTACTCATAGCATTTGCATTGACATCATTTCATTTCCATCCTATTTATTAAAAAAAAATTAAATATGATCTATTATCAAATAATAATAATAAAATAAAAATAAAAGTAATAGTAGTAGACTCAAAAACTTCTAGCTGCGCATTTGCTTCATTTCTACCTCTATTATTTAAAAAACATAATAATAAAACAATAATAATAGTAGTGGCAGTACTCACAATATTCATGTTTACAACATTCATTTCTGTCCCACTTATTAAAAAAAAATAAATACGATCTATTATTATAATAAAATAATAATAATAATAAAAATAGAATAATAACAATAATGGTGGTAGTAGTAGACTCACCAACTTCTAGCTACACATTCGCTTCATTTCAACGGCGTTCACATTGACATCTTTAATTTCCACTCCTCTATATTAAAAAAAATAAATCTGATCTATTATAAATTAAAAATAATAATAAAATAATAATAAAATAATAATAAAATAATAATAAAATAATAATAATAAAATACTAATAATAATAGTAATAGTAGAATCACGAACCTCCAGCTGCGCATTCACATCATTTCTACAGCATTCGTGTTGACATTATTCCATTTTTGCCCTACTATATTAAAAAAAAATAAATATGATCTAAATAATAAAAATAAAATAATAATAATAAATAATAATAATAATAGTGGTGGTAGACTCACGGAACTTCCAGCTACACATTCGCATTTATTTTCAAAGGCAAAAAAAAGATTATCATGTTAATCATGTGCAACTCCGAATTTATAAAATTAAATATCTCGAATACGATTATATAATAAATTATAAATAACTATATTACTGATCACAACGTTACTTAGCATATTTATCATATGATCTATGTTATGAGATTTTAATATTAATATATTATTAATATATTAATAAATATATCAATTAATAATTAATAACAATCCGTCAGGTCACTTACTAGTAGCTTTTTAAAATAACCATCATTGCAATTAATAAAGTTAATAAAATTTTATACAAGTATTTTTGCTTCGATTATTGATAATTACGTAATCAAATATAGTTACATCCGCAGTAGAAAATATTGTCAATTTTCTTATATTAAGTCCTAAGTTTTGATTGATTATTTTTTAATGATCAGTAACTACAATAAGCGGAAATTAAATTTAAAGAGTAGTATGTTTAAACTTTCTAAATTTTCCCTTCTTGCAAACTTTCTAAATTATTATTACAAAATCATGAAGCGAATTTTTAAATTTAAAAGAACAAAAGTGGAAAAACTCACTAAAAAAATGAGTAAATATTGGCAAAGCCACAACTGATATTCTGTATGTGAAAGAACCAACTAAATGGCTTATATTTCTTTAGGACCTTTGGTTCCCCCGGCTTTCCTACAAAATGAAAATACTGCTAATTTGATTCTTAAAGCGACGAAAAAGATGAATGTTGATGACCCCGCCATCTTTATTCTATGGAATGCTACCGGATTTAATGACACCCCGTTGGCAAATTGTCGTAATGGTGTCCCTGGCCAAACACAAGGCGCTGTTGTCAACTATATTTTAGGAAGTGGCGGTAGAGATTTTAACGGTTTGAATACCTTGTTTTTGTTTAGAAATAACTTAGCAATTACTCGCTGTCAATATGGGTTTCCTCTATGGTATGAGATTTTTCATGTTTATTTTTGAATTTTTTAACCATATTCTAATGATTTCTTTCTTGCTTTTGTTAAAGGACTTATCACCAAGCGGGGGTCGCGGATATTTGTCTTTCTATCTGTAGAATAAATAAGTTATCAGCTAATGGGCAAATTGACTATGAACTTTTTGACCATCCCCTTGTGGTGTAAATTGATACTTGAAGTTTTAGAAAACGTAAAAGTTCTCATGTTCGACATCATATGATCATAGAATATTTAGTATATTCATTTCTTCTCTTTCTTACAAAAAATGAATTGTAAAAGCATGCCAATTTCTTTTGCCATAATAAATGCATTGAGCTTTACAAGCGTGATTTAAAGTTTTAACTCTATTCAATAAGACCCAATTCTCGAAGATGCTCTGGGATAACTATATATGGATCTTCGTAATACCAAACATATTAAAACAATCCAGTTTTCTTCGCATAATTCTTTCTTGAGTTGATCTCGTGCTTGCTGTCGGACAAATTTATTGGGATCGCCTTTATGAAAGAATTCAATATATTTTTCATGTTGTTCACCTTGTACTTCTATCGCAAATCCATATTCTGGATAATAAATATCTAGTTCTAATCCAAGAAGATGATCAAGTGTTTTTAAGAAATCTGGTTGACGAATATTAGAAGGAGGTTGTTCTAAATACTTTGTGACAATTTCTTGACATAATTGTTCGTGTTTATATTTATAACAAAATGGACACCAGGTACCACTTTTCACATTACCAAAGGATGCTTTCCATAAATGGCCTTCTTTGCAACACCATAATAATGGCAATTGATTATTTTTATACTCGGTTGAAAGGCATTGTCCATGTCTAGACAATGCAATTTGCTTCGCATCTTCAAGAGTTAATTTCATACTACCTGCACAATACGGACACCAACTTCCTTGTTGAATACTATTGGGAACGGCTTCCAATCTATGATTATTTTCACAAATCCATTCTAATTTTGTTTGCGAATCATAATATTGATCTGAAAGGCAATCTCCATTTTTTATTTGTGCGCAATGTGGGTACCACTTACCACTTTTTACATTACCAAGAGATACTTGCTATGAATGATTTTCTCTGCAATGTCACAATAATGACAATTGATTATTTTTATACTCAGTTGAAAGACATATTCCATCATGAGATTTGGCAATAACACAAGCATCATTTAGTGATAGTTTTGGAGACATTGAGAAATATTTTTTAATCTTTGAAATCTTATTCTATTCATTTAATTTCAAAGGGGTATCCCAACCAAGACATATACTTAAAGGATCATCAACCATCCTAGTAAAATCAAAAACTATAAAATTTCGATTGTACAAATACTTTTCAATAATCTTGAATACTTTTTTTGGATCATTCACAAATTAGCATAGGATACAAACAAGATCTTCTCGACTTCTCCCATTGTTAAATAATGTAAGATGGTTTAAATTTTCACAAATAATTTGGAGTTTGTGTATATTTCTGGCTTATATATATATGTGAGATATTTTAATGACGGCCACTAATGAAGTAAGGAATAATTCATTCTTGTACTTTTTTTTGGTTTGGCATATAGATCCTCAAAAACAATAACTGTACTTCGATCTGGAGAAAATTTAGTTATATCTGGAATTTTATCTGGAGATATCCTTTTAAATGTAACATTTTCTTTATATGGTTTTGGAGCATTTGCAAAAATCTGAAAAGAATCTTTAATTAATTTCCATTTTGGCTTAAAATGTTTACCTATCAATTATACATGTTTCCAAAATTGATTTTGGATTTTTGAGGTATTTCGACTTTTTGAGATTTATGCAGAATCTATTCTATATAGAAGTAAAAAAGTATCCAGTTATGTGTATATTCAATCAAAAAATAAATCTGGGTGATCAAAAAATTTTGGGTTTTAAGTAAAATAATTTCGTCTTCTATGAAAAAATATTTCGACTTTTTTCTCGAAATTGCAATTTCGGGACCCCAAAATAATTTTGCATGCAAGTATACTATCAATACAAGATCATCATTTTTGATATAACAATTTCCTTTCTTACCTTTAAATATTCGCTGTAATTTATTACCCAGCATAAGATTAATAACCATATTTGTTTTTTCACTATAAAAACTTCCAGATACTAGTAATCTGAATGGCCAGTCAGGTGAATACTTATTACTTTTCATTTGTTCTGAAGATTTTTTAAATGTTTCATTGATATTGTACACAAATATGAACATAACTTTTTTTTTCATCTTGATCAAGATAAGTAATGCTAAATTATTATATTGAAAATAATGATCTTTATCTTTTGAATAAAGTATATTTTATGTGTTATTATATATTTGTCAGAACACTGGATTATACTTATACAACATATTATTAGAGACTTTATAACTAGAGAGATGAAGTCAAAGTAAAAATAAAACATGTGGTTTATATTTTTTACATATTACTTTTTTAAATTTTTTCTATTGCACACATAATTTTTTTAAATTGTTAGCAAATTCAGCTCTTTTCTATAATATAGAAGTAGAGCATAAATACCACAACTGGTTAATAAATAAACTTGGATATAGTAATTTATTTATAGCAAGATATGAGAAAACTTCAGTTAAAAGTTTAGGTATGGCGAGTAGATGAAATTTGTTATATGTTATATTTATCTTTGTGAATTTATTTTTTATCATATAAATAACCTTTTTCAATAAGTATATTTTTAACAAATTCATACAAATCTGCATCATATAGTATTTTAATAAGATCTATATCTCACTTTTTACTAAAGATAGTATCCTCAATTATTTTTTCAAATCCTCAATATTACAGATTTTTTAGATAGAATTGTGATAAAAATCTGTATATCCTCAATTAATCCATATATCCTCAATTGTTCCATAATTCTTCAATTGTTTTGCAATTTCTCAATTGTTTAGTAATTTCTCAATTGTTCTGTAATTCTTCAATCATTTTGCAATTCCTCAATCATTTCGCAAGTTTGCATAACTTGATAATTAAAAATTTTTTTTAAAAAAAAATAAAAACTCATTTTTATTTTTTAAAACAATAAAAAAATCTTATATTTACCTTGTCCTTGTTTTTATCCTTCTTCTCCTTACTTTTTACTAACTTGTGGGAATACCTATAAAAGTCAAAATTGTCAAAATCAGTTTCACGAATATACAATTAAAGGTGAGTTTTTTTTCTTTTCTTTTTTTTTAAAAAAAAATAAAATCTTATATTTACCTTGTCCTTGCTTTTACTTTCTTCTTCTTAACTTTCACTGGTTTGTAAAAACACCTATAAAAATTAAAATCGTTGAAATCAATTTTGTGAATATACAATTAAATGTGAGTTTTTTTTTCTTTTCTTTTTTTTTTAAAAAAAAAAATAAAACTTTATATTTACCTTGTCCTTGCTTTTACCTTTCTTCTCCCTGACTTTCACTAGTTCGTGAAAACATATGTAGAAGTCAAAATCATTGAAATCAGCTTCGCAAATATATAATTAAAGGTGAGTTTTTTTTTTCTTTTTTTTTTTTTAAAAAAAAAATAAATCATTATACTTATCTTGTTCTTGCCTTTACCTTTCTTTTCCTTACCTTTAGCTGGTTCATGGAAATACTTGTAAAAGTTGAAATCATCAAAATTGATTTTGCGGATATATAATTAAAAATGATTTTTTTTTTTTTTTTTTAAAAAAAAAATAAAATCTTTATTAGAAAATTTTAGGAAGTGAAAATCTTTGAAAATTTTTTAGAATAGTAAATTTTCAAAAATTTTTATGAAAATTTTCAAAAATCTTTTATAAGTTTTTAAATATTTTTTTATTGTGAATATTTTCAAAAAATTTTTACAGAATTTTTCAAAATATTTTACAAATTTGTAAATTTATTTTACATACATCAGGAAATTTTAGAAGACGAAAATTTCCAGAATTTTTTGTTTTTATTGTTCTTGTTATTCTTGTTGTCATAGTTATAATCTTATTTTATAATTTTCTATTTTTTTACAAATAATTTGTATAGTCTTTTTAATATCTATATAATAGAAAAAAATAAATAATTAAAAAAATTATATTAAAAAGAAAAGATATTGAAATTACTTTGATATATTTGAATTACAATTAAATTATTAATAAATAATAATTAATAGTAGGTAGCTTAGATTTTATTGACTTAAGCCACACTATACCTGCCACCCAAATTCAAAATCCAAATGCCAAAATCCCAAATGCCGAAATCCCAAATCCCAAATCCCAAATT